AAATTTAAGTGAGAGACCCCCTCGAACCCCCACGAGAGACCCCGGGATCCGTCGTGGGCGAGCTCCGGAACGGGAATGAGAAACCCCTTGAACAATCCACAAATTCTGGATTCGTGCGCCACCTATTTGAAGGAAGCTGAAACTTCTAGTCAAATAGTACCTGACGTTTCCCGCTAGATGGCGCCACTATGGAACTACCGATGTCCTTATCGCACAATATACCTTTCCTAGTCTTACTGATTGCGCTCTTATGGAACGCAATCTACCCATCAGAAAATCGCTAATTACTCTTTAATTACAACTCAGATCTGACTGAACCGCCACTGAAATGTTGCTAGATGTCTACACTAATTTCTCCAATTAGAAACATTCACTAATTCTACTCATTAAGTAAGAAATTTAATGATTTATATTCAACTCTATTAATACTTTGCCGAATATTGTGAAAAATGGAACTCTAAGTAACACCTTTACGGGAAGAGTGAATGGTGCAGGGGTTGAAATCCAAATGACAATCAATAATTAATTGTTATTTCTTTTATAGCCTATTTCTTTATTCAATATATTATTTATATACAATGTTCACTAAATTATAATATTGAAATATCTTATCGACCAACTTCTGTTCCGGCTAATATTCCAACATTTACAAAAAGTATATCCCCGACATAAACAAAACAATTTAAAATCTATTAAACAATTTTTAATAACAAACAGAAATTGACTTTATCTACAACTAAAAACCGACATTACCAACGGATTACCTACAGTTTACCTCGTAATAAAACATTGTCCGCCATCTATACGTGCTAATTAATACTAATCCGCTAAAAAGTTGCAGGTTTGTCCGTCGATGGCGCCAGTAGCTCCTACGTCGCACGCCATTATCCTATATCCCCCCGTACGAAATTTACATCGAACACAAAGAACACGTACGAATGAATAACGAGGATGCCTAGTTATTTTCTCCTGTGCTGATCGGCAAGTGACGTGATTTGGCTTCGCGTAGAATGATCCTCTATCGGGAAGAATGTTTCTCCCTCCACGGGCACACGCGCCTAAAGCTTAACTACTTTTGATTGGAGTGAACCAGTTGCTTGGTTGACAGTGATTGCGAACGAGGAGAGTACGCTCCGCTTGGATTTAGAAAATGCAGCATGAGAGCGATGCGAGATACGACAGCAAGTTAAGGTAAGCGATCCTCCACGGTCCTATCGGCTTAATTAAAACGAAACGTGAATCGATCAACCGCTCCCGGCACGCGATGCTCCGCGAGTGACGCGTTCCCCGGCGGCTCCGAATATAGGGAATATTCCATGGGATGGACATTTTGTTTCCGTAAGGCGGCAACGACGTCAGCGCCCTGATCCGATCGCGGTCGTTCATATTGTTTGACACCGAGGAAATCGCTCGTACCGTTCGCCGGGCTCAAGGAACCGTCGCGCGATACCTGCCGCACCGTTACGAACGACGCGTGCCCACGGATGCGTGTAGACGTTTCCGCTGGACCGGTTATGTAAAAATTCCTCTCGGACAGCTCTTATCGTTCGATCCCGCGACCAAGTTTCCCGTGCGTCGTTGGCATTTCGAAGGAATCGCGTCGCGCGTGCGTTCGCGATCCCGACGAGTCCCTTAAGTGGTATGTCGCATGGCGTCCCGGGCGGTGCACGCAGAGTCTCCGGTTACACTGATACGCCGGCTGCGTTCTTCTTTCTGCTCGCGTTATCGTCAGAATAGCGTGGAATGCCGTGAGCGTGCCTGCGAAAGAAACCAGCAACAGAAATAGAGAAACCAGAGTGGGAGAGTGCGAGAGAGTGTCACAGTGTCGCACAGTGAGAGAGAGAGAGAGAGAGAGATAGAGATAGAGTGAGAGGGGGAGGGAGAGAGAGAGAGAGAGGGAGAGAGAGAAAGAAGCCGATCGAAATCTATCGATATAGGTAAAACCGGAGGGACGAGCTGGGAAATAAAGTTAAGCCCGAGGGAGTCGGTCGCGTTCACGCGGGGGCTACACGGGAAAGGCGTGGACGGATCGGGTACGCGAGTTAACGTGCACAGGCAGGGCAAGACGCACGCCAACACCATGGGTAAGACGCCAAAGAAGGCGGCCCCTGGGGGCGATGAGAGGAATTTGTACAATCGGAGGCTACTCAAAGCAACGACCGCGGCGTCGAAAACGTCTGAAACGCACTCGCGCAAGAGGCAACGCGAATCCGAGAATCCAAACAGGTTTGTACGAGCGACGAAAGCCCGACGAATCGGTCGGCGAAAACCACGATCTCCTCGGTCTGCTGCGTCCGTTTCCCTTCGCTGCCGGAGCTTCGTTTCGAGCTGATCTTTCCGCGAGCGGATTTATCGTGTTTTGCAAACGGTCTACCGACGAGCACACTCGGAACGAGTGTGGGCGCAAACTCAGAGAATAGAAAGCACAGACAAGAATACGGTGTGGTTTAGCTGTTTCGCCGAGCTTTTCACTTTAAACTTGCACCTCTCATCACCTCCGGTACTTCTTACTCGGTGGGAATTCGGTTTGTAAGTACAAGCTATTTCTCAGCAGTGCTTTCAGTGTCGGTGTGTTCTTGTTGCAGGCCTAAGTTGAGCTCGACGCAGAAGAAGCTACCGTCTGGCCAAGGGAAAGCGTTCAAGGTAAGCATAGTTATCCTACGTTCGCCAGAGAGGCTTGCGTGTTAACTCTATGGCGAGATCAAAGTAGATATCGTTACCTTGTAAAACCAAGAAGGACAGTCTTTGTTGCAGACCAAACTCTGCGTGCCTACGAAGTTGGATCAGAGCCATCCTATGAAGAAGGTTGGAAGGCCGGTGGGTTCTACCAAGAAAGGAGCTTTCGCCAGTAAAAGCGCAGAGGCCAAATCGTCCAAGATGCAGCCAGAGTCGGAAGAGGCAGAGACCAAGCTGGACAGAACCGTGGAGAACAAAACTCCAAAGCAGGAGACTCCCAAGGAAACCGACAACTCTCTGGAGAAGCATGTAGACCATGCGCCCGCTGAGCCTGTTCAGGTAACCAAGGAGGAGCAGCAGGCGAGTAAAGAGTTGGTAACAGAGAAGGAAGCAGCAGACACCGAGAGAAAGGACGAAACGGACTCCGCGGAGAGCAAGGAGGTGGAAGAGCAGGACGAGACTGAGGAAAACGATTTGAAGTTGAGCTTGGAAGCCGACGACAGCCCCGTGAAGGTTCGAGACGACAAACCAAGCGAGGAGGAACCTCCGAGCAAAGAGAGCCAGGACAGTCAGGTCCGGATAGAATCAGAAAGCTCACAAGAGAAGAAAGAGGACAATACCCCAAACATAAACGACTCTCAGAACGACATGGAAAGCAGCTCGTTGGACGTCCCAGAGTCGCCCAGGTCAGAGCTGTCTGAAGTTTCAGAGACCACGTCGCAGAACGACACTCGGAACGAGAAGGACAAGGACGAGGAGTCGACGGACGACAAGGAGCAATCCTTCGTCTCCTACGACCCCGCCATAATGCTGAAGGACGTGCAGATCAAGCTGAACGACTGCATGAAGGAGAGCAGCTCAAAGGCGTGCGAGGCGAGCAGCGCGGAGCCGGCTCGCGAGCGGGAATCCGAGGCTGACCGCGAGCAGGACCGCGAGGAGATGTCCTCGCGACCCTACCAGGACCTGTCCTTCGGCAAGACGCTCAGGGGCATCTCCGGCAGGCGCTCGCTGAGCAGAATGCGGCACGTGACGATCCGCGAGCACAGGTACTCGCCGAACAACTCCATGTTCGTCAACATGTCCAGCGCGTCGCTGATGCCGGACGACAACGAGGACTTCAAGATCCTGCGGTACAGCACCGGCCTGTCGGACACCGTCTCGACGAGCAACGGCAGCCCCACGGAGAAGAAGCGGAAGCACGAGGCCAGCGAGGACTGGACCTCAGCGACCAAGAAGCAGAAGACCAACGAGTCCGACAACAGTTTGCTCAACTCATCGCTCGGGCTGCTGAAGGGTCTGCGCAGGCCCATACAGGTCTCCACGCCGGTGTCCGAGCTCAAATTCCAGACCAACAAGCTGGACCTGTCCGACGAGGAGAACAAGCCCATCAACGACCGCGCCAAGAAATGGTGCGCGATCATGTAAATCGAAGAGTTTTCTACGCGCGTATACACTTTCCTTTTGCTCGCACGCGAGGAGAGCGGCCCCCGTGCCATTCGTAGGGATAAGCGTGAACGTCGAGCGTTCATCGGAGACACCGTTCGACCATTTGCCCGATGCAACGCGGAACTGCGTTTCCTCGACGATCGTACTACGACACTTTTATATGTTACTCTTTATTCCTTGTTGCGCGTGTCGCGTCTGTAATCCACCGTCCATCGTCTCGACGGGACCACGTTTGACACGTTAAGCGCCATGTCGGTCACTGGTAAAAATCAATCGTAAAAATGCTCAACGACGCAACTAAGTCGATAGTAACGCGAACGTTGCAAAGCGAAACAATTCATTGTTCCCGCTTCTCTCTGCTACAAAAGACAAACTATGGGGAAACGCTTAAGATTCTCGTGGCGCTTAGCGTGTTAAGGTAACAGATGTTTCTCTGGAGAATGGTTGAGCAAATTGATTTAGCAATACGAAAACTGAATCATAAATCAGCACGTTAAGCGCCATGTCAGTCACTGATGACCGACGCTTCTGACTGACTAAAAATCAATCGTAACGTACAAGACGACCGATGTCAAATAAAAATGCTCAACGACGCAAGTCGATAGTAACGCGAACTGCAAAGCGAAACAATTCATTGTTCCCGCTTCCTTTGCTACAAAAGACAAACCATAAGATTCTCGTGGCGCTTAACGTGTTAAGAAAGACATCTCGAGCGTGATTCGCGCGAGTTCGGTTCTCTTTTAAATCTTGACTACACACGATTATTGTACAAAGCCGTCGGTCTCGCGCGTTCGCCGCGAACGAGCGGCCGGCGTAGGTACGGAGCGGCTCGTTAAGTTTTTATCAAGGTTATTAGCTCCGTCGTTTATCATCGCCCTCGAGAGCAAACACGTTTCACTCGAGCAACGGGGACGCGATTACAGGGAGAACGCGTCCGAGTATTGAATGGTTCGATCGATAGACTGTATTTTTCGTGCACGCC